GAATCTGAAAAAAATAAGTTTTCTTGGGGTCTATGTTGCCTAACAACACCGCATGTACCTCTCCACCAGGAATAGATATTAAATACACTTTGCATTCTTAAAAAAATTGTAAATGTCTTACGAATCACACAATGTATTTGTAACAGCTTTTAGAAGCATCATACACATCAGACGTCTGGTTCCTATCACCACCACTGTGAACAAATCTGACTTTCTTTCTGAAGTTTCTCTAAAACAGAGTGTTTCACACCAAACCAGTCTGAATGACTTTATTTACATCTTAACCATTTAACTATTCAGATATTTTGCAAAATCTGGGGAATTCCCTTTTAATAAATCCAAAAATATCCTTCAGTGAAAGTAAAAAAGGTATCGGCATTTAAACAAACTCATATACACGTAAAGCAGCAAGTAAAAAGCAAATATTTAATAGATAAAATTAAGAGTAGAACATTTATTTTCTCTGATTTCAGTAACTTTAATGCTGATTACTCTGTGTTACCCAGACTAGAGAACCTGCCTTCTTTTCAGCAAACTCTCACATGTATTGCATATTCAAATACACCTGACCATAAGAATAACGCATACACAGTGTGATGTGATAAACATTACATTGCAGAGCATTATTCCTCTCTCAGTCTCTGTTCTACAGCAACACGCTGCACTCCTCCTCCTCATCTTCCTCAGCAGTGCGGCCCACCAGTGTGGTGTGGTGAGTAATGGGCGGTACTGGTCCTTGCACAATTTTACACTGATGCAAATTTGATTATATGTGTTAATAAAAACAGCAACAAACATTGAATTTCTTTGGAACTCAAGAGAAAAGTAAAACAAATCCTGGCCGATTTTGAAGATCTTTAGGAATTAGTGCAAATAAAGTGTAAATGTTCTTAAATAATACTGAAGTACAGTTTTAAAGTTCAGTCGCTTTCTGGCGTCAAGATCGCTGCTTTTACTGTTTTTATCCATGCAACATACAGCACTGTGTAAAAGTCAGAATCACCTGTACACTTATTTAATTTCAAATCAGAAGTTATTTTTCAATGTCTGAAAATTTCCCAGAAGCCTCAACAACTAAATAAAATATGTTTTTCAGTATTTAGTGTGTCTGCTCTTTACCTTTATTACAGCTTCTCTTCTTTTCAGGAGACTCACTGTCCAGTTTTTCAAAGAATCTGCAGGGATATTTTCCCACATCTACAAAGTTCAGTCTTAGAATTTGGTTGAACATTTTCTGAAGTAATCAAACCCATTCAGTGGTGTTGAGGTCTGGACTCTGGGGTGGTCAGTCCATTGTTCAGCTCTTTGTTTGATGTGTCCGTCTCCTTTTCTCAGTGAGGTTCTTCTTGACAGCTACACATCCTTTCAGACCCACAGCGCTGAGTCGTCTTCTCTCAGTGGAAGGATGAACAGAACCACCTGTGGATGTTTTCAGATCTGAAGCAGCTTGATTTTCTCCTCTCTCTCAAAGATGAAAGCTTTAAGTGCTGTTTATCTGATGGGGACAGTGTTGGTGGTGCACCAGGTCTTCCAGGTGGTTGTTAGGAGTCACGATTTCTCTGCATCTTTTTTTTTATTCTTATTTTCCTTTGACTGTCTCCTTCTTTATGCAAATGGATTCTCTTATAGCTTGTCAGAATGTTCTCCTTTAGCCAGTTTAGATGCACATGAGAAGGAAATTTAAAGGTGTGTTTGGGTTGATTGTGTGAATGTTAGTGACTGTTTGAAGGGGAACATAACGTCAGTAACAGTGTTGGGAACAGCTTTTGTTGAGAGGGGATAGCTAGAACTGGCAGGTTTTAAGATTGGTAGGATGGAAGAGTTCAGCAGCACCAAAAAGAAGGGAAAAATTCAGTGCTGATAGAATTAAACTATTCTTAATGTTGGAGATGTTTGTGTAACGTTTGTTAAAGATATACTTCTTGTTTTTTTCCCTCACACTGAAAATAAAGTACTTAATGGCAGTTTTGGTTAGAATTTAGTAGCCGAAAGGGTGGTCTCCGACTTTTAAACAGTACTGTATTTTGTTCTTTCCTTTAAATCTAGGACGGCTTAATCCGCATCTGAGACAGCAAATACATACGTGTACAGGCTCTTGCAGTGTGTGGGGGGGTGCTTTGGATGAATGGGCCACCTATGTAGAGGTGACTGAGGTTCATGTCTGCAGCATATAGATTAGGTACTGTAGGTTCTGTACAGTGGAATGACCCAGTTTTGCATGCCAAGCTTTTTCATGAGGCTCAATTGCTTATGCATCACTGAATTACGCCACAGGTAAGTCTACATGAATAGGGCTATTGTTCCTACATAAGTTTGGGCCAATAAGCAGGATTTAAAGAGCCTTTTCAGCTTTTTCATTAATGAAGCATGTGAAAAATTGCTCATGATGTCTTAGATATCTTAGTGTAACTCCTTAAACTACACAGACATACAAAACATTAGCTGTCTCATTCATGAAACACTTACATTAATTGTTTATGTTACTAAAGTATTTGTCAGGGACGGTATCGGTCAAACTGTTAGAGCCACAGTTATCCCAAGAGGCTTATTAATTTTGCTGAACAAACCCAGCTTGCTGCTCTTCACCTTATTATTCTACACTTTTTTGTTCCATTTTTACAGGTTGCAGCTTTCAAACTAAAACTGTAAACTTGTCAGAAAGCCCATACAGTAATAGTGAGCTAACAGCGGTCGTTCAAACATTTTTATTTTCACATAGGAAATGAATGGCCTGCAATAACAGCATTGGTCTAGCAACACCTTAGAAACCACCTGGGATACCATATATGACCTCGCAACACCTTATCAGCCACCAGGCGTTTCATAGCAACAGCTTTATCAAGTCAAAGTTTGGTCACTGATGTTGCCCTTCAGTTCATTCTGCACTCAAAATATGTAAACTTTTCCAAGCCAGTTTTTGAGCTAGAACCACCTTAATTGGCACAAAAGTTTATTATGAAGGAAATAGTACACTTGTGCTTTTTGGACTGATCAGAAGTATGGTCTTCATACAGTGATCATCCAAAGACCAATTTTTTAAAGCAATGAAGGGCAGAACATTCAGAAAATTTAAATCTAACAAGTCTGTCAGTAATTACACAGTTATTACACACTCATAGCACATACCAAATAATGCAGAGTAACTACACAGTTATTACACTCTTTTTATCCACATACAGACCCATACACGAGAATTATACAGTTATTACATCACCTACAACTGTGAAATGTTCCATAGTAACTACCTAAAAACACACGCAATCACCCAATACAAAAGCATCCTTATGGCAACACCTAGAAACGACCAGAGGTACCATAGTGACCACCTAGCAACACCATAGGGACCACCAAAAAATACTATAGCAACCACCTACCAATACCCAAGCAACAACCTGGCCAGGTCCTAACAACTACTAATGATGCCTGAGGAACCACCTGTAATACCATAGCAACGACATAGCAATGCCATAGCAACCAGCTGGAATACTGTAGCAGCCACCTAGCAACCAGCTGGAATACCATATGAACTGCTTTCCAAAACTCTAGCAACCACCAGCCAATACCCTAGCAACAATCTAGCAAGCCCTAAACAACCACTAATGATGCCTGAGGAACCACCTGTAATACCTTAGCAACCACATAGCGACACCATAGCAACCAGCTGGAATACTATAGGAACTGCTTTCCTAAAAAACTCTAGGAACCAACCACTAAGATACCATAGCAAATGCCTAGCAAAGTGTTTGCTGTTTAAATCCAAATAATGAAAACTTTCAATAACCCAAAAACAAAGAAAAAAAAAAAAACTGAACTCTTCTCACAGCGTAAACAACCCACGACTTTCAATCAATACCTTATTAGCCCTATTAAGTTTCAGCAACAATCAACAGCTACTTACAACTGCTTTAGCCCTTCTAGCGTTATTAGCTGCACTGCAAAAATGAGACGTCTGCTCAACTTAAAATGATATAGTAACTGATTTCATGGCTTTTCTTAAGTTGACTCAACTTGAGGACACCAGAGTTCACACAGCTCAAACTTCTTAGCTGAGTCAAAAGTTCTCCCAGCTACTGTTTCTAGGTCTGCATCTCAGTTAGATAAACAAAACTGAATCTGTGTTTTTTTACTCAATTTCTCCACTGGCTGGCGCTCCTTCTATCACACAGTCCCATCTGGCATATTTTCCTCTTGGGCTTCTGGATCTGGACAGCTACAGCATTGCTGGGATTCAAACTCACAACCTCCTGCTGTTGGGATGAATTATTAGACAGTTGCAGGACGCCATGCTTTAAAGCTAAAACAACTAATATTTTTTCCAGTGTATTAAACTTTTACAGACACACAATCTGAGCTGCTACATGTGTTTCTGAGTGATGGACTGAGCCATCACCCCAACAGGAGGTTGTGAGTTTGAGTCCCCAGCGATGCCACAGCCATCTGTAAGTGTGGACCCAAGAGGGAAAATGTCTAGCAGGACTGTATGATGAGACTCCTGGCTGGTGGGGAAGTCGAGTATAAAACACAAGTTCATTTTATTTACCAAACTGAGATGCAGAACTAAAAAAATAAGAGAACTTTTGACTCAAGCTGGCTCAAGTGTTGAGTTGTGTGTCCTCAAGTTGAGTCAACTCATGAAAAGCCATGTAATCGGTTACTAAATCATTTTGAGTTGAGCAGACCTCTCATTTCTAACAGTGTGGCTTTGTTACAAACCAAATGTATTAAACACACCACACTGAGAAAGCTTATGTATCGCTTAGCCCTTTTTTATTTGACCTTGAGCTTGTTCTTACTTCAAAGGACTGCCGTACAGTATCACGAATCAGTCCATCGCACGGCAGACATTCGGCCTATAATATCAAATATCAAACATTTTTATAAAAGTATAAAAATACAAGTATAACTTTTTCATCATCATCTCAGTGAAATGTGATTAAAAATATGAACTGATTACTATAAAATGTTAGCTGATTGCTGAAACGCTGGCTGATGTGCGCGGTTTAACTGTCCGGACTGGCGCTGTCTTCTCCTTTGGTCACTTCTTTCTCAGGCTTCGTCTCTGTCGTTTCAATGTTGACCAGGTTGCCCAGCAGCCGCTGTTTCTGCACGCTGTTCCGCACACCATAGCCAAAGTAGATAAGCAGTCCTGATAGAGGCAAAGTCATGCACTTTTAGGCCTGAGGGAACTTTTTTCACATTTATACACTGTAAAAATGACCTATAACATGGTTTTGCAGTTCACTTTCATATATTGTTTTGTCTTTTTGGCCCTCGGCCCACCACAGACATTGAACTTTAGGCCCTCCAATGTTTGGACAGCCTTGCTTAAGACAATCCCTGTTATTTATTTCTTTATTTATTTATTTGTTAAATAATTTTGTCCTTCTTGTGTGCTCTGGCACTTACCCACAGCCATCCACACTGCATAGCGGGTCCACGTGTCTCCTCCCAGCTGAACCATCAGATAGATGTTGATGAACACACTCACCACAGGGAGTAAAGGCAGGAAGGGCACCTGCACACACACACACACACACACACACACACAACACACACACACACACACACACACAAAAGAAGTCTGACCCATTTTTATCATTTTTAGACTAGAACATGTGTAATGCAAGCATTTATGACACCTAGGCTTCAAAATAGAATAAGCAGCCTGCATAACGTTTTATGTTATTTAAATACTAATCAAAGTTCAGGTTGTCTTTACAGTCTCGCCCAGTAATTATATACGCTATATGGCCAAAAGTGTGTGGACACCTGACCATCACACCTATATGAATTTGTTGGACATCCCATTTCAAAACCATGAGCGTTAACAAGGAGTTGCTCCCCTTTGTAGCTCTTCTTGGGAGGCTTTCCACAAGATTGCCCATTCAGTCAAAAGAGCATTTGTGAGGTCAGACACTGATACTGGATGAGAAGGCCTGGCTCACAATCATCGTTCCAGTTCATCTCAAAGGAGGTCAGTGGGGTTGAGGTCAGGGCTCTGTGCAGACCACTAGAGTTCCCCCACATCAAACTCCTCAAACCATGTCATGTCACCTAAACTGTTGCCACAAAGTTGGAAGCATATAATTGCCTAAAATGTCGTTGTGCGCTGTGGCATTAACATCACCCTTCACTGGAACTAAGGAGCCCAAACCCTGAAAAACAGCCCCAGACGATTATCCCTCCTCCACCAAACTTTACTGTTGGCACTATGCATTCCAATAGGTAGTGTTCCCCTGGCATCTGCAAAACCCAGATTCATCTGTCAGACTGTCAGGTACTGAAGCGTGATCTGTGACTGCAGAGAACTTGTTTCCACTACTCCAGAGTCCAGTGGTGGCGTGCGTTACACCACTCCAGCCGACACTTGGCATTGCACATAGTGATCTTAGGCTTGTGTGCAGCTGCTTGGACGTTAATATGCATTTCATTAAGCTCCCAATGCACAGTTCCTGTGCTGATGTGGTCCCAGAGGGAGTTTAGCATTGGGCAATTCCTCTCTGTGAGTTTGCATGGACCACTGCTTCGTGGCTGCTCCTAGATGCTTGCATTTCACAATAACAGCCCTTACAGTTGACCGGGACAGAGCTAGCAAGAACGACGCAAACTGTTCCCCTGCCAGTGTTTGTCTGTGGAGATTGCATAGTAATGTGCTTGATTTTATACACCTGTTAGCAATGGGTCTGACTTAAACACCTGAACTCAATCATTTAGAGGGGTGTCCACATACTTTTGGCCATAGAGCGTATACTTAGCAATATAGTATTGTAATCAGGTCACATGATTGTAGAACACAGCTGTAACACACAAGCTCAATTCTTCTTTTTTTTCTAAACAAATAAATGCCCACTGTGCAGATAAAAAGCTTTTTATATATAATTTTCTCAGGTGTCTAAAACTTTTGCACACTACTGTATATAATTTTTACTACCAGTTTCTTCCACCAAAACACTTGGGTTCAGCAGCTTAGACTAAAACAACAATTGTTGTTACTCAGCTACTGGTGGCGACACAAGAATGGTGGAAGACTGTGCTGATATCTGACATAACAATACAGGTGGAATATTATTCAACCAGTGTGACTGTAGGGCCGTAATTAAGCAAGTAATCAGTGAATATATAAGCCTTGGAATCGGACGTACCTGCACTGTGATAACATTGCATATGATCATGTTGTACATACATGATTAAAGTACAGTAATGTATGCGCATTCTGTGTGTTTTCACCATGAAGGAGGCTTTGGTGGGGTTCTGCGGCTGCCTCCAGATGAGCAGAACGCTGAGCACCATTAGGAGGAGGATTACAGACACACACACCAGGCTCCAAACCTCCAGCAGCAGCAGATTCCTGATGGCTTTAGTCAACAGCACTGTCAGGACCAACACCAAGATGGCTGCAGAGACCAAGCAGAGAGAGGAACAAAATAACATAACCATGCTTACATGCTAATGCAGCTATAGGGCCTAGCTGGCCCAAAACACAACAATAACACAACTACGCTAATATATTAAAAGAGATACAGGGCCTAGCTGGCCCAAAACACAACAATAACACTACTACGCTAATATATTAAAAGAGATACAGGGCCTAGCTGGCCCAAAACACAAAAACAACACAACTACGCTAATATATTAAAAGAGATACAGGGCCTAGCTGGCCCAAAACACAAAAACAACACAACTACGCTAATATATTAAAAGAGATACAGGGCCTAGCTGGCCCAAAACACACCAACAACACAACTACGCTAATATATTTATAGTGATACAGGGCCTAGCTGGCCCAAAACACAACAACAACACAACTATGCTAATATATTAAAAGAGATACAGGGCCTAGCTGGCCCAAAACACAACAATAACACAACTACGCTAACATATTAAAAGAGATACAGGGCCTAGCTGGCCCAAAACACAACAATAACACAACTACGCTAATATATTAAAAGAGATACAGGGCCTAGCTGGCCCAAAACACAACAATAACACAACTATGCTAATATATTAAAAGAGATACAGGGCCTAGCTGGCCCAAAACACAACAATAACACAACTACGCTAATATATTAAAAGAGATACAGGGCCTAGCTGGCCCAAAACACAACAATAACACAACTATGCTAATATATTAAAAGAGATACAGGGCCTAGCTGGCCCAAAACACAACAATAACACAACTACGCTAACATATTAAAAGAGATACAGGGCCTAGCTGGCCCAAAACACAACAATAACACAACTATGCTAATATATTAAAAGAGATACAGGGCCTAGCTGGCCCAAAACACAACAATAACACAACTATGCTAATATATTAAAAGAGATACAGGGCCTAGCTGGCCCAAAACACAACAATAACACAACTACGCTAATATATTAAAAGAGATACAGGGCCTAGCAGGTCGAAATACAGCAATGCCACAAAATCAGATATAATAGTGATTAGAGCGTCTGATATTGTAGGTGCCAGAATGCTGTGTTTGTCAGATGTAAACATAAAGGTTGGCGGTCCGTACTGATGAATGCAGTGCATGTGCTGACGGTGTTTGAAGTTTCCTTGGTCGGGTAAGAGGGAGGTTTTAAAAAGCTGAACAAGGAGCTTTGCATCAAGTGCACATCATTTTCCGCTGACTCACTCTCCTGATACCTGTAGGGGAGAAAAATAGTTAAGCTTCAGGGCTTTAGGATAACAAAACAAACAACACTGTGAAATGTTAAATTATGTAATTTGAGTTTTATCTATACAGGTCAGTCTTTTGAGATCCAAAATATGTTTTTCTTACAAGGCTGGGTACTCTAAAGGAAGGGGTTAGGCTGTGCTTAAAGCATTTGTCATTAATTTGAAAGATGTGTCAGTCAGGAGGAAAAAACAGGCTTGAATACAGTGTGTGCACTGCTGCAAGTCATTTTGTAAAGCCTGAAATAGCAATTTAAGAGGTGCCGAGTCAGATTTCGGGGGAGTTTTTAAGACCACGTCATGTGTCTTTGCATATTAGCATCAAATGCACACACTTGAAAAGAAGGTCTGGCTCAATGTTTAGGTCAAAAATGCAAAATCAACATTATACTGATCAGAAGACACATTCTTTGCCATGTTTTGACTGAGTTCTCTTTGGATTCTCTTTCAATGCACTCGCAAACATCAGATGCATCCTCTTGGGGAAAGGGGTCTGAAGTCTAACCCACCTAATACAAAAAGTTCTTCTGTATGTTGGGTGCAATTGCACATTTCCACCAGAGAGGTCTCCAAATCCCCACATCGTACATATTTCAGCTTTAATCAATACTAATTCACGTTTCAAACATTCTGATTGGTGTGTATTTATGTGTGCTGGTCAGTGTCTCAGTCATGGAGTTAGGAATGACGTTGATGTGAAGCCGAGTCACTAACCTGAGTATGAGAATGCAAATGGCCACCAGAGTGTAGGCGAAGAGGGTTCCAATCGACATCATGTCGACCAGCGCCTTCAGGTCGAATAAGAGTGCCATTATTGCTGCAAATAAATCAGACCACATGATTTTCCTTTCTTTTCTTCTTTGTAGACCTTTTGTGTTTGGTACAGAAGTGTTCTCTGAAGCCCATTCATCAGATGGTAAGAATGGCACCCAAGTCACACGGGTTTCTAAGCTGAGTCTGTCATATTTCAGAGTGGGAAAAGTCACTGTGTGGACACAGCAGAGCCTGAGAATGGGGTGAGCGGTGAATGGAGAACAGTGTGCTCTACTAAGGCCAGTATTATGCTTTATTTGAGCCAAATTAGCAGGATTGTTTACATTCTCATCTGTGTCCCTTTTGTGTATTTAGAGGAATGAAAGTTGTGTCCACTAGGGGGCAGAATAAAACCAAGACTTCTTTAAGAATACCCTCCCTGAAGTCAGCAACGAACAAGGTGACAGCTCAGGAGACTATTTCTCACTCCAAATCTCCAGTCTTCTCCCCAAACTTTGTGGATCACTGAGCAGGTCCACTGGGCTGTAGGGCTGTGTAATTCTGCCATTTGGCAAGACAAGGCTGAGGAAGGCTTCAGCGCACTTTGCTTGAGGAAGTGCCCTCAATTCAGTGCAAAACACAGGGGACGACATAAAGCAGAGAGAATGCAAAGTAAAATATCTTCACGCAAATATTAGACGTCTTCTAATGTTAGTAATGCATTTGATGTACAAATTTGTAAAGACGAGCTGAAATCCTCTCTTATTAACGTTTTTAGCCTCAAAGATTCACCGTGATGATTCTGAGTGCTTCACTGAATGTCGCAGAACTTATGCTGCAAGAACACAGTTCTGACACATCAACGTACCACAACGTATCCCATTCATTTACATGGTGCATAATGGGTCTGGACCTAATGTGGTTGGTATAGTGTAGTGGATAATGCCTCTGCCTCCTATACTCTAGAATGGGGTTCAATCCCCTGCCTGGGTAAGCACCCTGCACTGTACTAATATAATGTAATAAGAGTCCTTGGGCAAGACTCCTAACACTAACCTCACCTATCTGTGTATAAACTGATTAAACTGAAAGTTGTTCTGGATAAAAGTGTCTGACAAGTGCCTAAAATGTACAATTGGCAATGTCTGATAAACTGTCCACTCAGAAAAGTCTGCCAGCAGAACTTACTGGTGAAATTGGAAATTAAATTTAACCAAAAGTGAATGCTTCCCTATAAACAAGGCAGCCCTGTTGATTAAACCCAGTGAAATCCTCTTTCACATTTCCAAATCTGGCTTCAGATGTCTTGGAGTAAAGGTTACATGTTCAGCATCTTCTCTCTGCACTGAGAACTTTCTTCCCTTCCTGGCAAGTCAGATTCTCACAAGACAGAATGTTCTTCCTCTGTCCTTGGCTGGTGGAATTCAGTGTATCAAAAGGAACGTTCTACCCCGCTTTTCATATCTTTCTGTATCCATCCCTGTTTTCCTACCAAAATCCTTCTTTCATTCCATAGACAAAAAAAATTGAAAAGCAAAAGACCTAAGATTAGCAGATGCCTCATTCAGAGAAGCAGACCCATAGGTGGTTTGGCTTTGCCAAATTTCCAAGAGATTCTGTTCTGGTTGCACCATCCAGATGAACAGTGGTGTAGAATTGAATCTTATTCCTCATCAACATCTCTTCATGGCCTTATATGCTCTCCAATTCCACTGTGCAGCAGGGTTTTTCATTGTAATCATACTTTTACAACTACTAAATTTTGGAACGTCATTATAGTCTCAAAGAATTTGCACAGATGTGTCCTATATATAATACTTTTAAATCCTTCTTGGTCATTCAGACACAGCATTTAATCACTGGTCTCAAAAATCTGAATGATCGCTATATAGACAACACCTTTGCCTGTTTTAAGATGTTATCAACTAAATTTGGCTTAAAACAGCTAAACTTATTCTGCTGCTTTCAGATTCATAACTCATTCACCTCCTAAATCAAAGCTGGAGGAACTTGTAGATACTTCAGTTATGACAAGAGGTTTGATATCAAGGATCTAAGCTCAAATTATAACAATGGAATGTACCACTATAGATAAAGTTAAATTAGGCTGGGACAAGAAGCTTAAAACAGAATTTTCCAAGGATCCAGTTTAAAGTAGTGCCTAGGATTCATTGTAAACTTAAATTTATCCAAAGATTACAGTAGAATGTGACAGATGTGAACTGTGTCTCCAGCTAACCTGACCCATATGTTTTGAATTGTCCCGAACCAACTGCATTCTGGCTGTATTTTCTGATGAACACTCGAAAATACTAGGCATTCAGTTAAAGTCATCAGCAGACATAACCATATTTGGCATTCCCAGCAATGCCTGTTTTCATTTTTAAAAAATTAGATATCTTAGTTGTCACCTCTCTTTTAGGTCATAGGAGACTTTTACTGCACTGGAAATCTCATGATGCCCCTGAATCTCACTATTATTAGAAGACATGATGCATTTTAACAGTTAGAGAAAATTAAATTCACTCTTTAGGGATTAGTAATGACACAAACACATAGCCTTACAGCTTTACACTGGACGTGTATCATATAACACAATTTTAAATTGAAATTTAATCAAGTACGTTACTATGATCCCATATGATAATTTGCATAGTATCATGATGCAATGCTTTGAAAGGCAATTGGTTAGGAGTTGGGTTGGCCCTAATTGAAAAACATGGTGGAACTGTATTTTATTTCTTATTTTGATGTATTTTTTGTTCTTCCCAATAAACTGAAGTTGTAAAAAATGTTCAGTTTTCCAACATTTGCTGTCGAGCAGAGCGGTGAGTGATTTTTTTGGGAGCCATGGACGCCGAACATCTCGTTGTTGAATTCCAGACAAACCCAGTATTATACAACAAAAACTAATGCCCATGTTTGCAAGTGTTGGTTGAGGGCCAGAACACTAACATGCATTAGATTAGATTAGATAACATGCACACTAACATGTATTAGAGACAAAGCATTAGATTCTCTTCTCTTTCCTCACCTGCTACAGTACCAGACGAGAGAGTGGCCACCACTGGACTCTTCCTGGAGCTGACCTTACAAAGTGCTTTGAAGAGAAGGCCATCTCTGGCCATGGCAAACAGCACTCGAGGCATTGGGAACATGGAGCCCAGGAGGCTGTGGAATGATTGGATCATTATTAACCCAAATAAATAACGAACCCAGTAATTTTCTGTATGACGCGGTGTTCTGCATGAAAATGGGAAAAGTAAATCACATTGCTAAAACAGTAGTAGTAGCCATAGCTTTTTTGGGGGGAGGGGTGGGTTAGTTAGGTCCAGTTAGCTCTCCCCCATCGTACAATGCATCCCACAGGACCCACTATAATGTTTTGTTATGTGCAGGGCTAATTTTCAGTGTCATGCACAGAAGTGGCAGTTAACCAGCCCAGTGTGGGCGGGAGGGGGACAACACGTACGTGTTGAGGAATCCCGCAAATGAACGGCCAAAATAAAATGATAATAATCACTTAATATTAAGCACATAAAAATATTATCCTACAGCAAAGTGCTGAAAATGAATGAACTCATTCTACATAGAAGTTCTAAGCTAGTTCTAAATAGAAACAACCCTGGAGAACAACACGTGAATCATGGTGGAGCCTTTAGACAGTCAGACAGCCACAGCTGTGGAAAGTGCTCTTAATAAAGGTGAACACACGACAATAGAGCTGAATAAAGGCAAGTCTGATGTGGTTTGTCAGTTGATGGAAAACAGCTATGCGCAACTGTGGGTGGGAGCGGGACAAAATGTTTAGGTTGCAGGCGGGAGCAGCACAAACGTTGCAGATTTTTTTGCACAAGCAGGACTGGGAGGAAATCTTGCAGGAGCTGGCTGGAGTGGGACTAAAAATTTGGTTCCTTACTGATCTTTGAAGTGCTGGCATTGCATAGTAATGCAATGTATTTATTTATTTAGTATTATTTTATTTAACATTTTTTGCAATATTAAGCTCAGCATGCTTAGAGGAACTGCAAATTCTGCAGATTTGTCTGCTAACAGATGTTCCTGTTTGCCTGCATCATGCTAAGTGATGGAGTGAGAGGGAGGTCATCCTCTTGGCCATGAATAGCTGTGGCATCACTGTGGAATGAACTCATGTCTGTACTTTTGTCCAAAAATAACTTTAGTGCAAAACTAACTTGGACAAGACAAGCACGTCTGATTGAAAATCGTGTAAATTAGATTTTTCACTCACCAAATGGTTTAACTGCCCAGTTTAAAGTTTCCTGTAACACAACCAATTTGGCTCAAAGCTACATAAGATTTCTAAGGGACAGACTTGTTTCATGCTAATCTGTGTAGTTATAGAACACAGGTTCTTCAGCAGTGGAACACAGTGACTATGACTGCATATCCCATAATTCTTAATTACCTGGTGGAGAGTGCGCACAGGGATCCCACAGCCACCACATACTTGGCTGCAGCCCAGCCCACGTAGGCGAATGCGACAGGCAGTGGACTGTGGATGTTGAGTAGGTAGTACGGCATCATCAGCGTGAGAGCGGCCGACACGCCAAAATAAGCCAAGAAACAGATGAGAAGAGCAATGACGATTCCCAGCGGGATGGACTTCTGAGGGTTCTTCACCTCCTCCCCTACAGCCACATTCAGAATTAAATTCAGACCACATTCAAAAAAGGTCAGTTCAGTTTAGTTCAAGTCCACTCAGTTAAACTCACAACATATCAAAATTAAGAAATGAAGCTTCTTCACAACTAGCAGTGGTAACCTCAATCTGCTGACCTCTTGGTGGCAGTTCCACCAGCAGAATGGAAACGGATGTGTTTTAAATTAATATACAGTCATATGTAAAAGTGTGAACACCCCAGTCAACATTTTTGTTGATTTTCTATGTGAAAATAAGTTACACATCCTAAGGGAAACACACTTATGGCCATATATGATCATTTTCTCATAATTTATCATAAATATGACTTAATGTCTCATAATTATGACTTCCTATTTCACAATAATGAGATACTAAGTCATACTTTTAAGATAGAATCTCATTGTTATAAGTCACAATTACTAAAGTATCTCCTTATTCTGAAATAGGAACTCATGATTATGACTTGCTATCTCATAAAAATGAAATAATACATAACTTAGATTAACTTAAATACATCATTATGACTTGCTATCTCAATACATAATACATAACACAGTACCTCATAATTACTACTTAGTGTCTCATAATAATTATGACATATATCATAATAGTGAGATAAGTCTATCTTAAAACGATGACTTAGTATCTCATAATTATGACTTGCTATCTCAAAATAATGAGATCCCCTTTCATCATTACAACTTAGTATCTTACAGTTTTGAACAAGGATCTCATAATAATAACTGACTGGTATATGTCATAATTTTGACTTACAATCTCATAATTACAACTTTGTCTCTCAATTATGACAGAGGATCTTATAATAATAACTTTATTGTCTCATAATTATGACTTAATATCTCATAATTGACTTAGTATCTCATAAGGATGAGAAAATGCTCTATTAAACAGTATCATGAGATAGTAAGTCATAATTGTGATAAATCTTATGAGACACTAATCATTATCATCCTATAGTAAATCATAATCATCAGATAGTAAACCATATTTATTAAAACTTTCTCTTTACTATGCCGTACTATACGTGGAACAGGCTGCCATAATTTGCAGAGTTTAAATGAGTTATAATGTTATAATTATGTCAAATTCAACAAATAAACAGTAATTCTGCAACTGAATTGTGCAATTCATGGACTCACTGTTTTTGAAACATAGTGGACATTCCATTAAACCTGTTACCTGTAGTTGCAATGCAGTCAAACCCCACAAACGCATAGAAACACGTTGCTGCTCCGGCCAGCGTGCCCTCAAACCCATAGGGGAAGAACCCACCAACCCCAAACTCAGAGGTCACATTCAGTGTGGACGTCAGGTTTCTGGAAAAAGGCCATTGTAAGTGTGTTTGAGGAGAAGTCAGTACATGGATTTCTTTCTTATTTTCTCTTGGAGAGTTTGTGCCATATCAAGACCAAAGCTACGGCTCCCAGACCTTTAACCTCCGACAACACACATATTAAAGCAACAGTTTGGCAAAAAAGAAAGAAATTTGCACAATTTTCCCTTTTAGTCAATTCAAGATCAACAGTTTGGCGTCTGCTGGCAGTTTCAAGATGGCAACCACCAATGTTTTAGTGATGCCTCTTAAATTAGGTTCATTTCTGGTCAAAACGACCGTTAAGTACAAGTTATCCATTTTTAGCATCTGGACAATTTCAAACTTTCAAAAAACAAAGACATGTTTAACGGAAAACTGCACAGAAGCTCCAACAGCTAAATATAATATAAATGTATCAGTTTTTACTGTGTCCACTCTTTACCGTCATTACAGCTTCTCTTCTTTTCAGGAGACTCACTTTCAGTTTCTCAAAGAAACCTGCAGGGATATTTTTCCACACCTCCAAAGTTCAGTCTTAGATGTTGGTTGAACATTTTCTAAAGTAATCATCTCCCACTGAGTGGTGTTGAGGTCTGGACTGTGGGGTGGTCAGTCCATTGTTCAGCTTCTTTGTTTGATGTGTCCGTCTCCTTTTCTCAGTGAGGTTCTTCTTGACAGCTACACATCCTTTCAGACCCACAGCGCTGAGTCGTCTTCTCACAGTGGAAGGATGGACAGAAACACCTGTGGATGTTTTCAGATCTGAAGCAGCTTGATTTTCTCCTCTCTCTCAAAGATGAAAGCTTTGAGTGCTGTTTATCTGATGGGGGCAGTTTTGGTGTCTACCAGGTCTTCCAGGTGGTTGTTAGGAGTCATATTTTTCTGTAGATTTTATAAGAATTTTTGAACTCCAGTTTTGGAAACTCTACTTTTCTCTTATTTTCCTTTGACTTTCTCCTTCCTTCTGGAAATGGATTGTTTTATGTTATCAATATATTAAGATTGCTTAACAGCTCTGTGCAATTTGAGCCTTGTAGCTCCGGTGCAAAACTAAAGAAGCAAACTTTATCAATTAAACTCAATTCAACTCAACTTTATTGTCATTCTACATATACAGTGGTACAGTTTAATGAAACACGGTAGGGCTTCTTCTCTTGTGCATAAACACTGAGACAAGGACATGAGGGCGCATGTACTTGTAGGGACATGTTCAAAACATCAGCCAGCACATCTGTCTCTGAATTCATCAGGAAACGTGTGGATGATGTGGTCCAAACTAAGAACATTCACGCTCTTCCAAACCAAAAACCCTGAATGAACAGTGAGGTCCACAGTTTACTTAAAGCACATGATGCAGCCCTCAGATCTGGTAACAGAGAAGATCTGAGAGCAGCCAGACACCAAACGTCTTTCTTGGTCGACTACATTTGGGGTAGGGGAAAAACTGTGCAAATTAGATTTTTCACTGAACTAATCATCTGTTGGCTCAGTGTTTTCCCTACTCAGCTCATCTGATTAGGAGTGAGAGAGCACACAAAGCTGGACTAGGACTAAGACTGATGCACAGAAGAACTGAGAAATTCCCTGAGGCTTACAGACTTACTCAAGCTCTGCTGTTACGTTCTGTAACGTCTCCTCTGTGATCCTCCAGTTCTCCAGATTCCCCTTGATGAAGCCAGTGATGATGACGAAGATCAACACCAGTATGTTGACGCTGGTAAAAATCTTGTTGACTGTGGTCGACTCTTTCACACCGAAGGCAAGGAGGCCTATAACACGTATGATTGATAAGCGAGCCAGTTTGTACATTCAGTGTAAAAACTTAATAAAAATGATGTAAAGGGGATCCTGAGACGATACCAGCAAGAATCATGATGAGACCAGCTGCAAAGAAGTCTGGGTAAGGGGCCAGGCCGGGCAGACCCATGGCCGCGTGTTTGCTGAAGTAATTGGCCATCACATTTCCAATGAGGTCGTCAAAAGTGCCGCTCCACGCTCGGGCCACACTGGAGGTGCCTGTAGGAGGAGAATGAGTGCGGTCATTCAGAGGAATAGCTTTGTGTCGATTTGATTATGGTGGCCTGGGTTCAGTTCCCCAGCCAGGCGATCAGGGTCCTTTCTGTGTGGAGTTCGCAGGTTCTCCAGTCCAAAAACATGCTGCTAGGTAGATTGGAGATGCTAAATTGGCCCTAGGTATGTCTGTGTATGTGCGTCTGCCCTGTGATGGACTGCCTACCCTTTCTGCCCAATGAGCGCAACCCTCACGACCCAGGAGGATAAGCGGCTTAGAAGATGTATACAGTATGCATGTGTGTCATTTCAAAACCAGTGGAGTTTCATAGTTATAATCGAAAGAACAACAGTTCTAATTTCATTAGGGCTAATTTGTCTACAATTTCTATGTACACACACATGTTTGACAGAGTTTGACATTGAGTTCTACTGAATTGTGATCTGAGCCCAAGTTTTTTGTTCTTTTACTAAGTACAGGGAAACATGTTGAAATGATAGTCTGTGCTGACTGACCACATGAAACAGCTGCAGAAGACAGAGACTGGGTTGAAAAGGCTGTAGTACTCCTTTAAAACTGGGCATATTAAAAGTTTTCCCCCACCTATAACATAAGAGAGTAGCAGGTTCCACCCTGTGATGAAAGCCCACACCTCCCCCACGGTGACGTAGCTGTAGAGATACGCCGAGCCCGTCTTGGGGACCCTGGAGCCGAACTCAGCGTAGCACAGGCCGGCGAAGATGGAGGCCAGGGCAGCGATGAGGAAGGAGATGATGATGCTGGGGCCGGAGAGTGTCCGGGCCACCTCGCCGGACAGCACGTAAACACCAGCGCCGAGCGTACTGCCCACACCCAGAGCCACCAGGTCCACTGTGGTCAGACAGCGGCGGAAGGTGGACACTTCACCTTCTGGCTCCAGAGGCTTCCTGCGGGAAAGTCCGCGTAGGAAGGAACAAAACTTCTGTCCACACATGGTCAGTTGCCCTGCCAGAGAGAGAAAATGGCACCGAGGGGCTTCAGTGGAAACTGTGAGCTTATAAAAGTGAGATTACACTGATTTTTTAAAACATCTGCAGTGGTTTCAGTGGTTTAGATGTGAAACAGAGTCATTCAGAGTGTGTTTGGTGTGAAATGGTTCATTATAGAGACTCAGGTTTCTTTACAGTGGTGGTGATAGGAACCAGACGTCACAATGTCTACAACGCAAATACAGCCATTTCATTTACTGTCCAAAACCACCAGTGAACCTACACGAGTCTTCTGAGCTTTATTTGTAATGTTGATGATGGTAAAATAAAGGTAAACATCAAAGTTTTCTTTAGGGACTATTTTGCCAATAACACACTGGGATGTACCTTCCCTGAATAGGTTTTTTTAATTTACATTTTAGGCCCATACCTTCTCAAAACTATCATAAAACAATATTTCGGTCATCACACAACGTATTCATAACTATTTTGTGTAATAACTTTCTGTGAAGGAGCTTTTGGATCCCTTAAACTCTTCAGACGTCTGGTTCCTATCACCACCACTGTGAACAATTCTGATTGACATTTCACACCAAACCACTCTGAATGACCTTGTTTACATCTTAACCACTAAATTATGCAGAAGTGTTTAAAAATTGATAGAATTCCCTTTAAGCTGTTTTGGTGAGTCTCCAACTAGTTCAGTAATAATTGACCCATTTATGCCCGTATGTAAAACCATAAAGAGAAAAATATAAACAATCTATTTGTCCATTTTTTTTTTGTATGACATTAAATACAGTATTTTGGTCGAAAGGAGTTACAGACAACAAAACAATACAAAATATATGTTTATTTAAAGTATAACTATACAGAATCTTATCACTTTAAAACAATCAGAACGATCTGTGAGGCACTTTTGCTTATCATAGTGAATTAGTAGCTGGACGTGAGTTAATCCAAATAAATATGTGCGATTTTGAGTTCATTTCATAAGTTGAAATGGTTTCCAAGCAGATTTTTAAGAAGTACAAATGTTATCAAAACAAACGTACATATAATTCAAAATTTCACAGTGGTGGTGATGGGAACCAGACGTCTGAAGAGCTTAATGCCTTTAAAAGCTACATCACAGAAAGTTATTACAGAAAATGGTGCATGAGAAATTGTTTTATGATTAGTTTGATTTAAAGTTTTGGTCTTAAACATATTGTTAAACATTCCATTATGGTGGTGGAATTCATGCAGGATACTGTGAGGAAAAATAGTCCCCAAAGAAAACTTATTTTTATCAGATTTACTTCCATTTTACGATCATGAACATTACATATAAACACTCAGAAGACATATAGGTTCACTGGTGGTTTAGGATAATAGATAAAATGTCTACATAGGTCTGGTTCCTTTTCAGCATCACTGTAAAGAAACCTGAGTCTCTACAGTGAACCATTTCACACCAAACCACTCTGAACGACTTTACATCTCAACAGTTGAATTACGCACAAATTTTGGAAAAATGGGTGGAATTCCCCTCGTATCTCAAACAGTAGAAAGGAAACTTCTCTCTCTGAAGTCCTTACCTGTGTTTAATGCTCTGCTCCAGTATGTGTGTCTGAGAGGGAAAAGAAGTGATGTGTCATTCTTAAGCCCTTTCAAAAGTCCTGATGCAGCAGATCGCTTTATCGGGACTCTGATAGGACACTGCTGATGGCAATAAGTGCACCTGAACTTGAATTAATTGCATTATAAAAGCATTCCTGTGGTTCAGATTGTCTTATTTTGTGACAAACAGAGATTCACAGACGAAAAGAGAAAAAATCACTCACCCTACTGCAGAGTGCTCATGGTTTCAGGTTGCTGAACTGAATCTTGGAACCATTCCTTCGTTACTCTGAACATGAGGTGGGGGAAAGGTTAAAAAAGCGAGGCAGTAATTCACGTGGCATTCGTGAATTAAGATTAAAGCTCATGGTGGCCGTATCTGCGATAGCTGGGGGAACGTATGGCTGCAGATAAAAGGATTTAGGCAGAGTGAAAGGGGACCACACAGGAGATCAGTGACAGTGGAATATGTGGAGTAGGGCAGGTCACGTGTTATAAAGCTACAGCAGCAGCAACAAGGACCCTCACTCACAGACACATTCATTAAAAGGCAAAAAAACACATTATTTCTCACATTTCAGATTTCAAGGGCCCTTTTCCAGCCACAGAGAGATAAGCTGAGAAAAGCAAATACTTTTCCTCGACTCACTGATATACGGTGATTGGAGGATCAACACTGCAGCATTGAACACGCTTGTTCTGCTAATGTACTTTACATTTAGTTTATCTTGTTTCTGCTGCTCTGCTGTCAGAACGTATCTGATTTCTGTGCTTTCTTGACTTTCTTGACGAGTCTATGTCGTCATATGGCTTCACTTTAGGACATGAGTGGGCAAATTCCACCCTGATGGGCCTCAGAACAAGCACCTTCCCAGTGCTAATCACCCTGATTGGGCTTTTTTTGCTGTTTGGCGATGTTTTAACCCTACACCCTCTTCAATCAGCTACGGATCTCAATACTAGTTATTCAGTAACTACAAAGAACTACAGGGAAATTCCACCGATTTTTCGAAATTCCTGCACAGTTCAGTCTCTGAGATGTAAACAAAGCCGTTCAGTGTGGTTTGATATGAAACGTTACAGTGGTGGTGATAGGAACCAGGGGTCGCAGCACAAATATAGCCATTTTATTTTCACAAATACTGCTGTTATTCACTACTTTACTAGTTATAACTAGTATTATTACTGTTATTATTTATTATTAAGTTTTTTTATTATTATTCGCCTAAAAAAAATCTCTCTTTAAGCTGATGGTCTCTTTAAAAGCTCCACAGAGCCTTGAAAAAATCACTGTTTTTTATAATGACACAAATGTGGTTTAGCAAGTTATTAGCACCTCTTACTGCCAATATTATTTGTGGTTGTTCAAAATAACTACATTACACTCTCAGAAACAAAGGTAGTAAACTGTCACTGGGGCAGTGTCACTGGGGTGGTACTCTCAAGGGTACATCTCAGTACCTTTAGTCAGGGAACATAACTGTACCATAAAGTTGTACTGACTCCACACACCCCGTCTCGTCTCCAGGCTTTTAATTTATTGTTCTGTTTTAGAACAATCGGTTATGAAAAGGTACAAATCTGTACTTTTCATCTGTTTTTTTTAAGGTTTACAATTAGACCTTATAACCACTGTTGTACCTTTGGGGGAACATTTACGTTGTTTGTATCTTGATGAATGAAAAATGTACCTCACGGAACCTTTATTTCTCACAGTGTATGCATATTGACGCACAGTTAAAGGTTCTACATGCAAACAGCTATTTCCAATGTGAAGATGTAGCGGTGTAAATGCATCCTGAGCCATGAATAATGTCACATCACCTCTATGTGTGTTATAATACAAGCTTCTCTGTTTTTTATTTTCATAGCCGGACCGGCTGCGTGCGCATGTTAGTCCCACCCTGTGAAAATGTCATCCCTCCCCACGGTTTGTTTTGCCCACCCCGGACAAAGTCAGTGACTGCCCGCACATGTGTATTCAAGATAGTGGAGTGCAATAGAAAACATTCAGGTGAAAGTGAGTTTCTAAACATTCCTCCTCCAAATATTCCTCGAAGTTGACGAGGCTTTCAAATATTTTCCACAAAGTTGATGAAGCTGAAGTTGGCTTCCTATTCGCATTTTCCCGTTCCACCTTAAATCGTGCAGCAGTTCCATTTTGCACCTGAGGAGCCTGAATGTATCCGCCGCACATTTATGGTGGAACGGGAAAAATTGAAGAAGAAGCTGGTGAGGAAAAAGCTCACTTCAGTTTCATCGAAAGAGTTGAAAGGTATGAAAACAGATGAGGAGGTCGTTCTGTTTCTTCGTGACAGGTGGGCAACGTTCACTTAGTTTTGCTGTTTCACAGAACCAACAGGTCAGTATCATTTTGTCCCGTTTCCTAATGTTTGTTATAGCAACTGGTTAGCTTTTTAGCAGCAATTGTGGCTACAGTTTGCTAACCCACAACCAAGCTTACGTTCATTACATTACTCACTGTGCGGTTATTTGCTCTAATGTTGTATCATGGTATTTGTCTGCACAGCGTTTGTGAAGGCTTTCATGGCCACAAAGACCTAAAAAAACAATTTTGCTAGCCCAAAGTCATTCAGTGTGGCAATGCGCCTCCACGACTTCAGGGGGGCGGAGCTTGTGAAGGAGCACTGAAGGTAGGGCTGTATTTGTTTTGCTGCTGAGTTCAAATATCAACAGTTGTGCTGCAGAATTGTATAATACACCTTTAAAGAGGTTATCAGTGCTTTGTTGGTGCAGTTTAGAGCATTGTGCATTTATAGCAGGTCAGGGTTACTGAACTGAAATCTCCACAGGTGGTAGGTACTGAACCAGAGCGATGAAGAACCCAAGCGAGGCTGAGCTGAGCCTGGCGAAACTGATCTCAAACAATGAGGCCATAAAAAATGCAATTATTGTACCAACCAAGAGGGCACTGAGGACAAAGGGGCAGGGGCTCTTTCTGGCTTTTTCCCTTGCAACACCCTGCGTACCTCTCCATCTTTTTACGAAACTATTGTAAAACAAAGTCTCAGACATCCAGCAGCAACACGATTTCAGGTAATAACTTTCTGTGAGGGAGCTTTTTGAGGCACTGCACTCTTCAGATGTCTGGTTCCTACTACCACCACTGTGAACAATCCTGACTAGCTAAGTTTCTCCAGAATGGAACATTTCTAATCAAACCACTCTGAATGACAGCGTTTACATCTTAACTATTTAATTATGCCATAATGTTTTTAAATCTGTGTATTTCCCCTTTAACTACAGTAACTACTAGTACAGAAACTGATGTGTAAGTTCTGTAGCTATGAGTCAGAGGGAACTGAAAGCAGTCCAGTGCTTAGAGTGTGATGAGCAAAGGCAACACCAAAAGGCAAGTTATATAGGAGTCTCTCTTTTTTGC